AAGACGAGCGTTTCGTACGAGACTTCCTCCTAAAGTCACGCGTCAAGGCTCCAAAACGGAGCGTTTCGTACGAGACCTCCTCCAAAAGTCACACGTCAAGTCTCCAAAACGAGCGTTTCGTACGAGACTTCCTCCAAAAGTCACGTGTCAACTCTCCAAAACGAGCGTTTCGTACGAGACTTCCTCAAAAACTTTAGTGTCAAAGTCTCCAAAACGAGCGTTTCGTACGAGACTTCCTCCAAAAGTCAAGCGGAAACACCCATCGGAGCACACACATCACGCAGCCCTGCCAAGCAGTTTCGCGATTCCAGCCCCTCCAAACAACACCCGCTCACACGCCAATCCCAATGAGACAACGACAGTCACCTCTGCCACAACTCACAACCTCACGATTCCCTGCGCCTGCCACGCATCTTTCCGCATCCACACGTCTAACGCGCACAAAGTACTGCGCCTGCCACGCAATGTCACCTCCGTCACACCTCGCAACCTCACGATTCCCTGCGCCTGCCACGAAAATCACACTTCCATGCCTCAAAATCAGCACAAAGTACTGTGCCTGCCACGAAAAGTGAGAATATCATCTCACATGAGCTTCAACAAAATTTGCACCACACCACACGTTTAGAATGATTTCGACCCGTTCTGAGCACACTCCCATCCACCAAAATCGCCATTTCAGCTGAGACTTGTCACGAAAACAGAGCTTCGATGCCACACCCTGAAATGCAAATCCCAATGGCACGGCCACATCCAACACCCCAAAAACACGACTCTCCAAACGCTAATCCCAATGGAACTGCGCAGTAAACTGCGGATCTCTCAAACCACTGCGCCTGTGCAGCGAAATGCATCACGCTTCTTGCGCGACATGTCATTTTCATGCAAAATCACAATGGAATAGCGTCGCAAACTGACACGTGACACATCCATGAAAAGTCACTTGCAAAAGCTTCCCCCAATGGCAGCGCCTTAGCGTCCTACTGCGAACGGTTGCGAACGGTTGCGAACGGTTGCGGACGGTTGCGGACGGTTGCGGACGGTTGCGGACGGTTGCGAACATAGAAACAACGGATCGCGAACAAGACTCTACCCCCAGACCCCCCAGAGTTAAACGAGAACCCTTCGCTACGCATTCGGGAAAATCTTACGATATCTTACGTATATAAGTCTAAGTGCGTATATCTAGTCCTGTTGATGCTTATTCAGTCTGAATAACATCTTACTGACCAACTGCTTGGAAAGTGAAGAACAACATGCTGTAAAAGTGTGTCCGGCCAAAACTCAATAAACACTCCACCTTCAAGGTAAGCCCGCAAATCTCACGCCTCCAACTCTCTGATTCTTCAGCATGCTGATTTTGCAGATCACTTCGGCAAACCAAACGTGGTCTGTATGTCACCTTTAAGCATCTTCCACGAAGGTTGATCTCGGTGAGCTCAACCGTAACTGCCACGTATACCGTACTGGTCCGGACTCCAGGATCTGACTGGTTCGGTTCGGCTGCTCACAGGATCTGATGGCCAAACGCCGCTTTCAAAAACACACCCAAGAAGGTGTTTGGGGTCGGTTTCTAAGAAGGTGGGACTGGGGTCGGTTTGGAGGGTCCAGTCATACTTAGATGGGCTGGGGTGTTGTTAACTAGTTAACAAAATTAACATACTTATTAACTTGGTACTATCTCAATGCTAACAAACTACTAACAGTATACTAACTCCTTACAACTAGTTATGAAAATTAAAAAAATATTAACTCTTAACTAAGAGTTAGTTAACTTTGATAACTTTTTTACAAGAGCTAGCAAAGTTACTAACAGTTAGCTAACTTTTACACATTTTTGCACATATATGTTTA